TTTATTTTATTTTATTTTATTTTATTTTATTTTATTTTATTTTATCATTGCAAAATTTCTCCTAAATCAACTAAATTCAATTCACTTACCATACATAGTTCTAATTATATTGCGAGTATTATTTTTTAATTTAAAGCAAAATCTCTGCCAATTCGTTTTTCTGTCATTAGAACTATAGATAACAATCTCTTAGGTATGAAGTACAGAGAAAAAAGGATGAACACTCAGAAGGAAGAAAAGGATAACGAAACTAGAATATTTGAAGTTGTCTACGCGTGTCAGGAATGTTTTATTTGTCAGGTTAAAGAAATTGCTGCGACATATAAAATTTAATAACTTTAGTATCTTGCAGTTCTAATGTTTACTTTGCAATGAAACACGATGTACATTAGGTTGGAGTCCAAATAAAAATACAGTCACTAAGTCTGTAAATCATACCTTGGTCCTTGCATTTTGTTTGAGTTTAACGAGTAAAATACTTCAATGTTTATAAATTGATAGGGAAGTTATTGATGAACATATTAATGTTTAATCAAAATATCAGCCGAAATATAGTGTTTTTTCTCGAAATTACTCAAAATGATATCCAAGAATTTAATGAATGGAAGTAATTTAGCCACCTTGCGAAAGATTCATTAAAACAACGAACTTTCTTTGCGTGTGAACACGATTAGTTACTCAAGGAAATAGAAATTTCGGGAGCGAAATACGTGTCTCATACTGAATGGTACACTAGCTATTCCTTCTCGTTTTAACCAACGTCAACCAACTGTTTTAAAATTACGATTTCAACACATTTTGGGTAAAAATAAAAGGTACGAAAGTGAAAAAACAGATTTGAATATTAATTTTTAACGATCAAAAAATTAAGCTATACCGAGTAAAAATATGTAGGAAAGTGACTGGAGGAGAATGATGGAGAAAAGAAAAACAACGAATAAAGGGGTTACGAAATCAGTGAATGAATTTTTTAGGGTGCTCTTTGGGCTCTTGCAAGAGCACTTAGGTGATGGGCTTTTGACTTTTAAAATACCATCTCTTGTTAGATTTCAAAAAATATTTATTGCGAATAAAGTTTTTTTGCTTGCGCGCACGGCTTTTTCCTCGATGATAAATCTGCGCTTTTGACATGTTCTGTTCGTTTCCAACGGACTTGAACTCCAAACAAAGAACGATAGAGCGTAGGACGCTAATGGAAATTCGATTTGTAATATCTAGTAATAAAATATTAATGACAATATTCGGCAAGGTTGAAGCCTTTATTTAAACCCCAACACAAACAATATATCAATTTAAAAACTTTGCGAGTCAAACGGAGGCATGGAATTCGTTATCCTATCACAGCCCTAAAATATGAACGCTGTATTCAGTTGGAGAAAATGAACTCCAATATGAAAACAAAACTTAACGAAAGCATTCTAAAAGATTTTTTGGTCTAATTACTTTTGTCTGGGTGTGGAATTAATTTTCTCCCCTCGATGTGTAGTTATTTGTATTTMGAAGAAATGCTTGTTTAGACTTACTCCTACGTACGAGAGCCTAAAAAACAATGACAAACACAACAAAACAGATTAGCATGGCATAAATATTTTACAGCACTTTGCTTACGTATTCCAAGGATTACTTCTCTATGCAATTGCTAAATTGAAACTAAATAAAATTCCACCGCTTTTTAACTGCCTACCCATCATTATAAACTTTCATTCGTAAACGTGAGAGTAATGCCAGCTGGCTGATTAATGGCCGCGCCACATTCACTCCCTGGAAAGAAGCAAAACCAATCGCAAGAAGGAGCTCAGGCTATTTGTGCTAATTTTAAGGCTGACAGCCACTAAGATTCCAGATCTCTGAGTCTCAATTTTGCTTTGTATTACAAAACCCTTATAAAAGCAGGGATCCTGTAGTGTTTTTTTACAGTTCTTTCTTGAGCAGAGCGGTGAAACAACTACAGTTTACACTGAAGACAAGAAAGCTGCAATAGTTCTCCAAGATGAACAAGTTAGCAGTATTTTTCGTACTTGCTTCATGCATCGCCCTTACATGTAAGAATACTATATGTTATGTTTTCATCTACGTAAATCTTTTATATCAGTTTTTGAATTGCAAAGCTTTTTTGTTTTCGTTTATGTGTATTCATAAGTTGATAGAATTTAAAACAGAGTGATAACTGGTTTTGCCTTTCGTAACTTTTCATCGTGTTAAGAAAAATTTTTCTCTTTTTCTCGTCTTTGTTTGTCAATGTTAGCGACAAGATTCAAAGATATGGAAAAACACTTTCATTTTAATATCCTGTCTTTTTTTCTCCTCAGTTTTAATCAAAGTTTTTCAACAAAAAATATTTTCAAAACATTTCAAATTGTAGCATTTAAAAGACATGGTTTTTTTTACTTCATGTTTCTTTCCACACTTAGATTTTCAAAAGACATTTTTGTGAAGGCAGTGAAAAAAATGATAGGAGTTTTTAAAGCTTTTTCAAAAAAACATGAAAATTTTTAGATATTTTGGAGAACGCTGAGAGATTATTTTGGAAATATTTTGGATATAGTACATTGAGGTGCTATCGAGAAATAAAAGGTTTGAGAAACACGTTGTAGCACCTGCTTCGTAAAAAATTTAGAACAGCTTTCATTTTTCAAACATCATAACTTAATATTGTTTTATTAAAGAAACCGCCTAGTTCAATGTTCGCTAAATTTAATCTCATGGGTTTTTTTTATTCTAGGGGCTTTTCCAAATGAAGAAAAAAGTAAGTAAATATACGGATTTTATGTGTAGTTTTTGCGTGCGTTGTTTGTGATGTTAAGGATAAAAACAGCATGCACAAATGGATCACATACACACACATCAAACTTTTGATTAATATACTTTCCTAAGTTGGTTATCCGTATCACTTCTAAACCCTTCAAAATCCAACTTCATATAGTTTTATTCACCAGGGAAACCTTTGTTCAAGAGGATAAGATTAACAACTACCATTTTCTCTTTCAACACCTCTTTACAACCAATGCATTGAAAATAATTTTCGTCACAGTAAATGTATATAAATGCTACAAATAATCGTTTTTAGAAGGCTCAATTTCACTAAAGTTAAAAATGAAACATTATTGTAAATTATCCAGATGATTTACTCATGATTAACGAGGGGRAAAAAAGTTTGTAAGAGATGATTAATATTTTCCTGAAAGCGTAATCTATAGCAATTGTTTACAGTGCGGATACGTTCCCGACTTTAACATGTCAAAAAAATCTATCAACGTATTCTTGAAAATTAAATATGGCATTTTAATTCTATTTTATGTATGATCCAACTTATTATTATTTCATGTTTTTTATTTAAAACATACTAAAAAGCAAAACTTTATGGGGGAAAAAGTGTTTTCTCTCCCTACAAGACCGAAGGCGGAAAAGGACTTCGAGTTTCAAATCACTCCAGAATTCACATCTTCCAACATTTTGGAACCGCCAAACTTTCAGTAAAAAGAATTACAAGAAAATATGGATAGATTTGCTATTCTGTTGTAGTTTAAATTCTGTAATATATCTTATCAAGATTCTCTGAATGATTTTCGCATAAAACTCGTCCTCGCCGCTTCTACCTTCAATTTTCCGTATAATTCATGGTTGTTTTGCGTAATATAAATGGTTTCTTATGTACTTAAGAAATGTCAGCAAAAATCTCTAATATAATTACAATTTAGATTTCTCGTTTTTCATACTCCATTTTACCATTTATTTGCTAGGTCATTTTTCTTGATTTATAGCACATTATTGTACAGTTCTTTTTTCCTTCCGCCAGGTTTTTACCGGTCTTTTGAGCGTAGGATGAAACAGTAGTTATTAAAAACCAACGACGTTAAATCGGAGTTCTCTATTTCATTCTCAATAAACACTTCTAGGTGTCCGTTTAACTACGCTAAAAATATCCGGAAATCATTTTGCCAATTTTTCGTAAAATAATTTCTGATAACATCCGTCGGTTCAGTTCTACAAAATATAATAAAAACGGAGAAAAAGATAATAACGAGACAAGTTCACTGTAACTTATCCATAAATAAAGAAAGATAAAGTAATATTAACTACGTAAACACGAGTAGAAATTTTATTCGCATTAGCATCACAGCTCTGTATAAATATCTAGGCTATCAATATTTTTTGCCATTGCTTACAACAAACTAATAATTTCTGACTTAATCTTCTCTCGATTTTTATTGAAATTGCCCTTTAATATGAAGTTTGCTTTTTTGCCTTTCCAATTATCAAATAAGACAGATAAAATTTTCACTTTATTACTCACCTACTGTGTAAACATTGGTGCGTTTCTTTGATTATTTATTTATTTGTCTATTTGTTTTTTTCATTAAATCCGGAAGCAAAATCTAATAAAAATTACCTGGAATGTTTGGATAAGAATAGATATAGTTCTGCGTTTGAATTTCACGTCTATTCGCTTCCTTTTTTCTTCCTCTGTTTTCTCTTTCTTTATTCCACTCCTTTCTTCATTCCTCGCAAGGGCTTAATATTCCGGGCGTGATCACTAAACTTAGTCTTACTTATTCGCACTTCATTCCCAATTATTGGATTTAAGAATCAGTTTTTGGCTGTAATCACAGAGTTTCCTGAGCTTTCCCGGTAAATATTTTTGTATGAGATTTTTAGATAAACTGAGCCGATGAAGCAGCTGGAACGGTTCAAAATTCTCCCAGGTAATAAGCTAAAACATACGCCCTTAAACTATATAACACTAGAGATGGCATTTCCTGAGACCCCACGCTCCTCGCCCCGAGAAATATTCCAGCAAAGAAAGGACTTGACAGAATTTAGCTGTCACCCGACATCATTTCAATAAAAGAAAGAATAAGAGATTAATCCTAGTAGATTGAATACGGTATCCTCAAAATGCTTTTCGACAGAAACGTCAAACATTTCCGCTTTCCTACTGAGACTGATAAACAATCTGAATTACAAGCAGTTTGAATCAAAACAATTGGGAGAGTCAGTCGGGCTATGCTAGACTTGCAGGAACTCGCTTCATTATTTTCAAATTTATATCTCATTTCCTAGTTTACTGAGCGTGTAAGTACTTAAGAGAGCCGTTCGAAGGCCTAAACGAAAACAACTATTGGTATCTGTATTATTTTTGCTTCTAAACTAATTTTATTGGAAAGAATTTTGACTGAAAATAAGAGTTGGAACATCTGTTGTATAGACTAAGATATATTGAATGAATAGGCGATCGAAGTTGGATCTTTCGTCAAATATTAAACATGTTTCAAAACGTCTTATATACACTTGACTCTAAAACTCGCATCCTTCAAGCATATTACATTTTTTATCGATAAAACTATAGTTCTCAAAGATCTCTCACAATTCTGTCAACCCTTCACCAAAGTACAAGAACCCGATGCTTTTTGGAAAAAAAATTTCTTTGCAAATCTTAATTTTTCTCTTTTATTAGAGTTTGCAAGTGAATTGCCTTTGTTTTGACCGAAAGCATCTGTCCTTCTATGGAATGGTAGATGTATTAACATATATATAATCATTTTTATATATTCATATACTTACTATATATTTTTGGATATCTACGAGATAATGCAAACCAAAATTCGTTCATTCCCTTGAAAAAAATTTTTTTCAAATTAGACTACATATTTTTTTATTGATGTTAAATATCTTTTTCAATCCAAACTTATCGCATTCAAAGTCATTATAGTTTTATTTTTTGCATTTTTACAGTATCTAGTCGATAGTTGATTTAATATTGCTTCCAAGATCAAGTAGTGTGGATTTTTTTCAAAAAGGTTTCTTTCATCTCAAAAATTGTTATCGTAGGAAAGACCTAACAAACTTGAAGGAAATCATGAAAGATGTTTATTTTTTATCACATGATGTGAAAAAAAACTGCGAGATATTAGACTCTACTCTTACCAGTCCTTAGACCAGCTTTCAACGGTCAAAATACATCAATACTATTTCTACTAAGTACATCGCAGTAAACATTAACAAGGCTTCTCACATCTGGAACAAATGTTTTTYCCCCAAAAAGATAACCTATTTCCCATCCTTTAATGCTTAGGATCAAAAGGATACGTTTAATAATATTCATGTATAATTCCTACAAGACCCAGTCGACGCGTGAGGTTAATCATTTTGTCAAAAAAGCCCCAAGGAGTATAGTATATTATTTGATCAAGAACTACAAACGTATCAAAAGCTTCATCTTTTGTCTATTCAAAACAGATATTAATCGTGAACCTCTTCGTGAATTTGCCGTGCGCGTATCAATGAAACGGAAGGGCTTACTTTTTATTTCCTTGTTCTATCAGCGATGTACAATCAGTAGATCTCTATCATTGGGTAGTTGAACTGCTAAATATCTCGATCATTACAGTCTTAATATAAGGGAGCAAGGAATTCATTTGCGTTGGGGAAATTAGCTTCAGAATCCCCCAATCCACATCCCCCGCATTATTGATTCCATCCATCTCAGTCTTTCCGCGCGCGATTCCAATTATTGCCTATCTTCTTTAGTAAAGATGGCGCAAAGGAGAAAAATATTTCTTTAGCGCTATCCTAATATAGTTCAATATATGAGGGATATAGCTTCGTGTTCAACATCTTTTTCCACTGATAGCGTTCGTTATTTAGAGTATCCCTACATTTTTTTCTGCCTTGAATTACCATGTTCTGTCGAAGGCAATTCATTCGACTCTCTCATCACTTTTCTTTCTTTCTTTTAAAAGAGGAGAAAAAACGCATGGAATTCAGTCTTTCACTACTGCAGTGGGACTAACCCATTACATTTTTAGTAAAGAAATAAGTCAAGGTTTATCATTTCATTCTAAATAGTTCAAACTAGTTCCATCGATCTCGAAGGACGGGGGGACAATGGGCACGACATTTCCGGATTCATTTGGTGGAAGAATTCATAGCGTCGCTAGCGAGTCAGTTATAATTATTTTCTCTTTAACCTGGCATGGGTTAGATGGAGTTTGAACAGGTGTTATCATACAAATTAGAATAAAATTTATATTATTATTAAGATTTAGGAACGCAGTGAAAGGACGCTTGTAAGGAACAGCAACAGCGATACTAATGAGCAAGGGAACGGGACCATGCAGCAACTAAACTGACAACAGTAAAATAATAATAAAATAACTCCTATAGATCTCGCGTTCTAATTGGTTGGGAGCGCGTGCAATATTCACACAGCAGGCTCGTGCAATTTCTATTTCGTCTTCCGTTTTTCCAAAATAACGCCGATTATACTCTAATTTATATTTTCGCTATGTGCCTTAGAAATGCCCACAGCATGCGAATGCGTTGTCCTATTTCTTCACTTTCAAAAGCAACAGTTAAAAACAAGTACAGCTTCAAAAGCATCAACAACTGCCGTAGCAGCAACGACAATAAGCATAACACTCAGTAACTGCAGAGGAAGCAGGCTGCTAGCTAAAGGCATGCAGTAGTAACTATAGTACGACAGCAAATAACAGAGTTTCGTTCAACAAAACCTAACCCCGCCGCTGAACCACTTAGTCTCTTTAAAGACAAAAACATGATATCAGCACTGTTCCAGTACTAAGGCTTAACGCTTTTATAACTATATTTCAACTTGTATACACTAGGATACAAATGACTAGTGATCAGATAGATCAGTCATTACGATTAGCACGCCTCCGCATACGAGTACAGGTATTTAGCTGAAAAAATCGCCATAGGCAATGGACAAATTCCATTACAAAATAGAAACCATTTGTCTCGATTTACCAAATAAATGAGAATGAATAAGGAAACGCATTAGAAATGTTAAAAGCATTATTCACCTTTATCCTTAAAATGAAACCGGAGAAGACTACTTTGATCGCGGACTTCCTTAAGCAAAGCCATTTAATGCAGTTACCTTAATACCGAAATTAGAAAAAATTGAAAGCTTAATCATAAGAGCAGGCTAGCACTGTTATTATCTGCAGTACACCTAATGATCTGATACTGTAATTATTTAAGTCTTTGAACAGAAAAATTAAGTAACAGCATTAAGTGGGCAATCATTTACTTTAGGTTTCCCTAGCACAAATTTACTTGCAAAAACGTCTAATATAGCTTAACAGTCTCGTCAGTCAATGTCTAGGATGTATGGATGTTGAACTTGTTTATATATTTATATGCGCCTAAGTCAACAGCGTTGAAAATATTTCAAATAATATACTAATATATTGATAACAATCTAATAATCTAGTCTAATTTACGTTACAAGTTCGAATCTCAGGTAGACATTATTCTGCGGATTGTGAGTTGAGCGTTATGTGCATAGAATATTGAATGTAGTGGTAGTGCGTGTGAGTGAAAAGTGTCCCCAATTAGTGCGAAAGCGCTAGAACGACTAGACACTTAAATGAAAGCGATTTTTTTTGTTGTCCTTTTAGCTTTTTTGTGAATGAATATCATTTCAGCCGCCACTTTTCTTTTAACGCAAATCTCTTTATTCTACTTGGCTCTTCACAATATCTTTAATGGCGCTTTTCAACTTTGAATATAGATAATTTCAAAACGATGACTGATCGAATATCATGTAAAACCAATATCGAATATTGTTTGTTTGACAAAGAACAATATACTCAATGCTCTAGAAAGAAAATTCCCACCAAAATTTTACCCTTGCACGTTATATCGGACTGATGTTTGTGATGGGCTTCCTTGTTAATATAACTGACAAATATGAACGATATATCTTTATCATTGGAATCTTTAAAAAACAATTGCAAACCATCGCGGAATGAACCTGTTTATTCGTAGTTTTATTTTGAGAATCTGCTGCGAAGTTGAAGTGGCTATTTTGGATGTCTTGGATGAACTTGGATGAATTATTTTCGCAATTTCTTGCTAAAATACTTACATTACTACCGTTATCGTTGAAGTTGAAGTGCGTTGAAGTTTGATATCGCGATTAGAAATTGAAAGACCGTCAATCAAAGAACTGCAACTAAAAGAAGCAAATATCATCTTGAGAGAGATTTTGTCCTGGATTAAAGATTTTCATTCAGGCTTAAATCTCTTGTCAAGGTGATTTTTTTCTTTATGCAGTTATTTGATTGACGGTCGTTGAAATGCTAGTCGACGAACGACACATCAAACTTCAAGGGTCGCACTTCAACAATAATGGTAGTAACATGCAAAATAAGCAATCTCGATCCGAAAAATTGAGCTGTGCTTTCCTGGTTGTTTAAAATGCTGCATGGGAATAGCTTACTGGCAATTGAAAGATTTTATGGCTGATTTGTAGCTAAAGGCGTTGACCAATCCCCGTGCGACAAGTAAGGTAGTGCCCAATCCCTACCCATTTGGCTATGGTGGTATAACTTTGGCTATTATAAGTATCTATCATTCGTTCTTTTAGTGGCCAAAAAAGGAAAAATAGCGGCCATATTCAAAGACCTGATTTAGTAGAAAAAACATTGCTTGTACCGTAGCACTTATTGGACACCATGGTTAGAATAAAGATATTTGTAGGCACTTTACCTAAAAATGAGGACTAGACATTAAGACTAACTTGATTTAAATGAAAGGGATTAGTTACTTAGCATCAATTTGTGCATCAGTGTCGAATAGAGCATACAGGCATACATTACATACATACTGCACGGCTCGAACACACTACTTGTTATTGTGGTGCGATGTTTTTGCTGCATGGTTATGTATGCATAGATGACTGGATTACCTTTCCTCCAAATTTCAAAATGTCTATTTTTATATTTTCAGGAGAGGCCGCAGCTCCTAGAGGTAAGAGTAACATACATAGAGTATGTGGATGTTCAAGGGGGGATCTAGTGAAAGGGTTAGCGCAGCCTGACGTACTTTCTTAAGTATCTGCACCTCCGTTTTGCGAAACATCCTGGATCTTCCTGCCCTTGATTTTCCTGCCCTGAACTTCATGACAAAAAATTCGTTAACGTTAGTTCTATATTTGCGAAAAAAGATTTTTAAACAGATGTTCGGGTATTGGACTTTGGTCAACATTGAAAAATGATGAAACAAGAAAAATACGGTCTCAAAACTGTACAAGAATATACAGTGATGCCTAGATGATGAGCTTGTTAAATCGTTTCAATACTAACTGAAATATTTTTAAGGCTCGCTACATATATGCTTATATACATAAAGAAAAATTTCTTGACCATATTTTGAAAATATGAGATGCAAACGTACTAATATTAATATTATTGAATATTTCTCTGCAGCAGAAAGACGTAACGTAGTCGACTGTTCACCATCAGCGGTAGCTGCTCTTCGACACTATGGCGTCGATGTTTCGCAAAGTCACTTATGTGGGCCAAGCTCAAAGAGATGTAAGTAATACCATGGCAACCTATTACCATGACAACCTATAACCATGACAAACTACTGGAAGTGTCTCTTTTGGCACCTTAAGTAGCTAAGATTTTCATTTCTCTCTTAAATAGTCGCTTCTGAATTTGGACGTATTCTTCGACGAAGAGGTTAGTTTTCTATTAAAACATTTTAACTGAGAACAATTATCCATTATTCAAAATGGATTTCAATTTCCTGTGAAAATTTAGTAATTAATTCAGTATTGTCTTGAATCTTAGAACTGGAGTACGAAATTTCAAGACCACGCTTTGGTAAGTCACGTGACAAGTTAAAACATTCGTCGTCAAATATTTTATGATAATAACAAAAATAATAAGAATAAAAATAACAATATAATTATTTTTATTGTGAATGAAGAAATTCTGATCAGTGTTTATTAGATATTATAGATTATTTTTATTGATTACTATTTATATTTATTGACAGCTCGTGGAGAATTCAATGCTTGCTGTAGCCCAGACTGCGACTGGCTTCTGACTTACCTGGAAATCGACTCCACCGTCGTCAAGTGCATTGACAAGAAATAAGCTTCTCCAAGATTGGAAACACCAATTTAAATCACCAACCACTAAATTAAAATCAACACACATAAAGAAAATAAATAGAATAATCTAGCTTGAAATAAATAAACTAGGGAATAAAAAACAACCAGTGAAATAAAATTTGGATCCTCACACCGAACATAACCAGATACTTGTACTTACAGCGCATGCCCAAGAGTTCAAATAATGACGTCACAAGGAAGCCATTTGAATGTCGTTCAGCAGGGTACTGTTGGGTTATTTGAATTTTTGTGTACATACTGGCATAACTAGACAAGAGTAATAAAAAGACCTGCAAGTCACCTTGAATGTTGATGTTTGATCTCGTCGCCTATTCCGGGGCCTGCATGGACGTAAGGCTTTCCCATCTCAGACTACGTGTTATTCTCTTGAGAATAAGGCTCTTTGTGAAGTTGTACACATATTCATGCTTCTTCTCATGCGCAACTGTTAAAAAAAGAAATGATACTCTAGGGAATGACACGTCGTCCGGAATGGAAAACATTACGCCAAAGCCTTTTCCTTCCCGAGATATAGCGGTCAATAATATGAATCTTGAAAAGAAATTCAAAAATCAAAACTTGAACTTTAATCAAAGCTTAATTCCACTCCAAAATATATCAGACCCAGTGCACGTAATTGCCCTATTTCACTATGACGTCACATCAAAACAATCTATTGTTTAAACGCAAAGGATCATGGTCGTCGGAGGGGGTCAAATCAACGCAAATTCACCGAAAATTGTTCTAAAACCCGTATCAATCCACGAAGAGAAGTAGAATAGCCAACAAACGCTCAGAATATTAGACCATTATAGATTAAAATGTTTTGCTAGGAGCAAATTTTGTTGAATTTTCTATTGGGTTGGGCGATTCTATCCCCCACATAAGCAAGCATTGACGTCATAGTGAAATAGGGCAATTGCCTACCAACATTATTTACAGGAGTATCGATCCTACCAAATATCAAATTACTATGTTCAGCGGTATTGGTCAGCGGTATTGGTCAGCGGTATACCAAAATACCCAAAATTTTACTGAATATATAAGTCACGCAATATAAAGGTCACGGAATTCCCATCTACGTTCCAAACGTAACGCGTGACTAGAAGTAACTGAATAGCGAGTATAACATTTCTAGCAACGATGCGCGCAACAGACCTCTTCGGCTTGGGGTAATGTTTTCCCATTTCAGACCACGTGTCATTCCCTTGAGAATAAGATTCTTTGTTTGAGCTGTATCCATATTCATGTGTCTTCTAATGTGCAACCGAGCGCAAAACTTAAACAAAGAAATGATACTCTAGGGAATGACATGTTTGGTCTGAAATGGGAAAACATTACGTCAGAACCGAAGAGGTCTATTACAGAAAGAAAACCAGTGTGATATCTCATAAGGACGGCAAGAATGTGCGCAACAGTGGAATCTTGTGTACAGGTTTTGAAAGGCGATCCCAAACAGAAGAAAGAAAGCTTTGACACGTTTTCGCAAGAACTGAAAAGTTTTGGTGGGGACAAGTTAAGATTTGAGAATATGACTATTTCCCTTGGATAACATTAGAGTTAGCAAGAATAGAACCCACCCGTCTTCAAGTGGGGGCTGTTGTAGCTGGGAGGACGTTTCAATTTCAAACAAGTATTATAGGTAGCTATGAAAGAATATAAGGAAGGGAGAGACAAGAAATAAAGGGTTTTGACACACAGCTCACGACTAGTTAAATATAATTCCCCTTGTATAATAGTTGAGACTAATCTCAGAAGTTAGGACTGAAGTAAATCGAGATTCATGAAAATGTGAGTTACACGAGGAGCAGTAAAATACCCTAGTTACCAGGCTGACTTCAATTCTAAGTCACGTGTGCTACATAGACCTCGTTCTCATGAAGTGTAACGCTATAACAGGTCAAAAAAAAATATTTTAGCTCGAAAGATACTGTCTCAAAACATATCGGGTCATATGTCGCGAAACTGATATTCTTCGATTGCACGTTACGTCATCGCGGCCATGTTGGTGCCATTCAACAATCCATTGTTAACGGCACCACAATGGCCGCCATGTTTTTATCTTTTGACTTTCTTGAGAATGCTTGCAACCCATCAATATGCAATGGGTCTTCTCTCGTAACAACTAAAATGCTATCAGAGTGCTAAACGGGGTTCGAATCACGTTGTACGGAAAATTAAACGATGAATGATTCTTATTTTCACGAAAAAATGATTGTTATTGCAATTGCAAACATAACCCTTTACCACCCTGATTAAATGCCCGGCAATTTTCAATTTTTTATAATTTCTTGACTAAAACGAATTCTAATCGAATCTGTCCCATTATCAAGTTTTCAAGTCGAAAATGAAAAACGAAGAAAAAATCATGATCAATACAAAAGCTTGAGTAGGTATCATGTTTAGGCCACCCATCCAGGTACTAACCCTCCTCAGACGGGCTTGACTTGAAAGCCCAAGTTTTTTCCACTGGGCCACGGTTCTATGAAATTAGAATAACAAAAGGTGTGAAAACAATGCACCAGATAGACTAGACTTTTTAACGATATTTTTTCAACCGATTCCGTGCGTGGCA